TAGATTTATGGAGTAGACAGGCCCAGCACCACATAACAAATTTATTAACCAGGATCAATGATGATACATTAGTTGGAGGAATTACTGAAATAAGAATGAGACAATTACAATTAAAAGAATGGTTACCTATATGTCCAACTGAATGTTGGTTATATGAAAATATGAAAAAATTCAATAATAATATGATGGCAAAAATTCTTTGTATAGCAAAAAAATTACAATTTAAATTTCATTGTATTTATAATACTTCTAGTTTTGATATACAATGTGGTGAAATTCCATTAATAAATATTTTTAAAGAAAATTATATATAGTATTTATAATAATACATTAAGGAAAAAAAACCTAATGTTTCTTGATCAATTTCTATATACAGAAGGTTCAAAAATGCTTATGTGACAACAATTATCATGCAGATGGAGTTTTAATCAACAAGGTCATATACCAAAATGGTTTAAAGAATTGAAAATCAAAGTACTTGAAAACAATTACAGAATTGTTAAAAATAAATGGAAGTTAAATAATCAAAATAAATTCAACACTAGATCTAAAGTTTTGGATATAGAAGACAAACGAAGGAAACCATGGATTACTGCTTTCAACAATATCAATAACTCCATTATCTTAGGAAAAGCAAATTTAAATATTCAAAGAGGTCAAAATGAGTTATTATTAGAACATTATATCAATATAAGAGAATGCTCTGATGAATTAAATGATTTTCATCAATCTATAACACTAAAAAAATGCAGTGGCTGTAACTTAACATCAGAATCCTCAAATAACAGTTGTAATATAACAGTTGGAAGGTCAAATTGTCTAAAAATAGAATGTTGCAATAGAAATTTTTTTAATAATATAACAAATGGACAACAAATCAAATTAGAAATACCACTTAATGAATTACAAAATATTACTAAACTCAACAGGAGAGAACGTCCTATATAAGGAATGGATTTTCACAATTGATTTCAATTTTTTTTATACAGTTTAAAATACT